TAGTTTTATGTAAATAATTGTCAATGGAAATCAGAATTAATATATATATATATATATATAGTTGATGTCTCAAAATGGACAAATTTCTTATGTTTCCAGTCTCATGTTAACTTATGCTTACTTTTGAGGGATATATAGCAAAATTTGCTGATGCTAATTTAATTAATGGACAAAAATAAAATATGTGCACACGACAAAAAATGATTGGTCCTGTTTCATATTTATGCGTTTTACTTGCTTTGGAGACATTGCAGAAAAACCGATGCCAATTCAATGGACGAAATTAAGTGATGAATACGACAAAAAGAACACTATTATCCCAGTTAAATATTTATGCGTTTTACTTGCCACTTTTCAGAGATTGAATAATTTACTGATGCCAATTTAATGGACAAATTAAATGATGAAGGCGACTAAAAAAAATGATTGGTCACGTTGAATATGACGTATTCTTTTTTCTTTCTAAAGAAGGGAGGTGAAATCGCACATTTTTCATGCCATAGACATAGAATTTGATCCTTTTTGGTAACAGATTAACGTTGAAAGCAATCAAACGTAAGAAAAACAAAACCTACACAAGTGATTTAAATGATGGAAGATATATATATATAGGACCCATCCAAGGAAGTAGTAACAGGTGTGAAGCTTTGATAATGATGATGTTGAGGGAGTTGGTGAATGGTGATGCTTGCAATATATAAGACGCTTAAATTGTACATATTTAACTTGTGTGCTATATATATAAATATTAAATTTCATGTAAATTGTATATATATTCCTGTATTATCGAAATAAGCTAGACGTAGTTATACTATATAAGAACAAGACAAAATCGCAGCATCCACAATTTTCATGTGAACGATAATAGAGCGTGTACGTATGTATACATAAAGCTGGTAGAGTGAAAACTCCAAATAATTGGACACCTCAGAGATGGTTACAGGTAGTAAAGAAGACACGGATTGTTGGTTCAGAGGTCACTATATCTAAAAATTCCTCATAAATATGACATATCATATTCACTCATGCAGACAAAATATATATATATACATAACAAGTCAACAAATAATACAATTGTGTAACTTTAGGGCCTCACGTCTGAATCAAATGATTTTCAATCTTTTGAATTGATGGCCAAAGATTTAATTCTCATCAGAAGCAATAGTTCCAACGTCAATATGTTGTTTTTATATTTGTATAACTAAGAGATATGCCTCCCTCTCATGATGTGCCTATTTTAGCAGTAAAAATGATACTTTTTGTTCAGACTATATATTGGATCGAACCTTAATCATAGTTAAGGGAACAGAAACATGAATAATTTACCCATATTAACACCTTTTGAATATACATACACATAGGCATGTATATTATCTGAGTCAAACTAAATATTGACTTAAAACTCAATATATGATATGAATTTATAAGGAAATTAATTAAATGGACTATAGATCAGCCCATGAAAGGATTTTAACTTAACACAAAAGGCAAGTGACAGGTACATCTAGAGCGAAGGCCCCTACTGGGTTTGATTGGCATATTCTCGATCGATCTTCAGAATCTTGTGTGGACAATCTTCATTTTCATTCTATCCTTATCCTCACATATATTTTTAGTCAAAATGGCTACGGTCACGACCGTATATATAAAAACCTTAAATTTGCATAGCTCATACGTACAGATACTGCTAAACCTCGAAATATATTGCGGGAATCTCCATGACACAATATATTAATAAAAGAGATCTTGTTGCCGTATGATTAAAGTTGAATTGGAAGAATAGACACATGACACAAATATTTTACCTAGTTTTTTGTTGACTTTCCCAAGCTTCGAAATTAAGAAAGCATCTAGTTGAAAATGCCAAAATCATCGCTTAACACACCGTTACACTTGTTGTTCGTGTGTAGTATATACTACTCAATATGACAATATGATACACGATTTTCTCAAGTCAACATCAGAAAGCCTAATCAATTAAAAAGAACTAGCTAGCTAGATGTAGAATTGACTAATTGACTTAAAGCCACGTGTTTTACATGTTTGCTTTATGGGAAATGCTACTTTGTCTTTTTAATTACTTAGGATGCGACGTTTGAATTTTCTTTTTTGGATTACTTGAAACATTGAAAAACTAAATCAACTTCCTTTATTTAAGTTTGTTAAAGTACCAGCTAGAGTACCAATTCTCTTTACATTAAAATGAAAGGTCACCACGCGAACAAGTTTTTATTATTTTTATATACATCGAGAATTTCTATGTTGTCGTACTATATATTAAAAACTCACTCATGTAAAATGCATGCAAAATCTATACCGCTAATTTTATTTTTCACACATGAAAACATAATTAAAATTATGTGTCTGTTCACTTTGTGGGGGGCATATGCTTTGTTGTGAAGGCTTGTGTAGCCGTGATACTCAATGGATCTGAAGAGTGAAGTATAAAGAAGAAAAGGAATTAATGGAGCAAACCTAAGGATTGTTTATAAGCAATTTCCTGTGCCACATTATGTCACATCAGCTTTTTTTATTTTTTTTAAGTACTCAAACTTCTACAAGTAATTTTGCTAAAATTTAAACAATTCATAAACACTGAAAAGAGCCGATGTGGCATGATATGGTACAGGAGATTGCTTATAAGCAACCCTCACTGCAGATACTCTAATGCATCTAAATAATGTGATGTGCACTAATTATATTATCCGATCTGACAGGTTGTTTAGCGTGTGTTTTCTCGTTCTCCCTCAAACAAACGCTCTTGTCCCACAGTCTCTCATTATAACTTCTCTAGTTGAAGAACACCTAGTAGAACATCTGCATGCTACATATATATATATATATATATATATATATATATATACCAAACACGTGCTTAGTTATACTACAATCTTCGAATTTAATATGGAAACAAAATCACCGACTAAAAAATGTCTAACCAAAAATTAATATATGTTCACTATACCAAAATTATTTTTTTGTGGTAATTAATTTATTATTTAGCAGCCATATAAATGGTCATTATTTTTTTTACCAGCATTTAAATAAAGGCTGGTGTATTCAGTGTCGCTAATACTATTACCAGCATTTATATAAAATGCTGGTAAAGATCTACTAAATTGTCGGAAAAACTTATTTTTTTAGTGGCAATTCTAGTAGCCATTTTAAAGGCTATTAAAAGTTATTTTTTTCAATTGTCTCCTTTACTTTAAATAATTTATTCCTATAATTTCCTTTTCTAAATTCATATGAGGGTTGTCTTTTATTTATATATTTTTTAATTGTCTTGTCTCTTAAGAAATGTGAGATTTATAAAGTGAAAGTTGCTCTCTAATTGTTTTATAACACTATTGAATTTAGTAATAATGGGTGATTTGATACCAATTTAGAATAGTGAATTAGGAGTCAACCCTATAAAATGAACCTGTAAGGTGATAGTTATTATTCACTTATACACTACTTAATTATCTTATAATCGATGTGAGACTTAAGCTTTTTCTAATAAATAATTGTCGCTAATAGTAAACTTTAGTGTAATATAAATACATTTTTAGTGACTATTATATATTAGCCATTAATATTTTTATATGTGGAGGCAATTAAATTATTGTCATTAAATAATTGTCGTTAATAACAAATTTTGTTGTAGTGGTTGCGGGACATTTCTTGACTCCAAGATGCATGTATTGGAATACTAAAAAAAAATAGTCATTTATTAACAAATGGACATTGAATTAACCTTCGTTAACATAGCTTTTGTTAGTTTGTGTAACAGAAATTCAACTATCATAATATAGATATTACATGCATGTTAATGAAAAATATTGATCTAATTCACAACTTTTTATTGATTTAAAAAATTTGATACACATAATCAACCCATCAAATGCTAGTATAGAAATTAAGGAATTTTAGATCGGATCAACTTGTTTTAAAGATCCTTGATGCAATTGATGATAACACGGTTTTTATTAGTTTGTTAATTAGCTCCTCTTTGGATCGATTGCCAAGCAATTTCTATGATACATCACTGAAACGAATTTATGTACGTGTCCGAGGCAATTGTTTTTTCTGAAACAAAGAAAGAAAAAATCATTATGATTAAAAAAAATTATAATCCTATTTTTTTTCCTTTACATTATTTGTCATATTTATCATTTTTCTCTCTCTTTCTTTATTATTATCTTTTCATTATCATTATCTTACTCATACATTCCAAAAAAAAGATGTATGTTTTAATTATAAATATAAGAAGAAAGAAAGAAAACGATACATGTATACTTAATGTCACAACTTATGTGAATGAAAATGAAGAAAAAGAAAAAGAAAATTATAAATGATGGGATAAAAAGTAAATATATATAGGATATAACATTAAGTTTACAGAGAAAATTGGTGGGACAAACAATTAAAAAAAAACTTCTAGAATTTATACGAGTGTGACACTGTAGCCGGTGCATATTTAAAGGCTAGACGGCCACCTTTCCAACCCCTAGTGGTAGTGGAGTCCAAAGTCTTCTCATCAACAGAATACAAATTTGCTTTAAATTAAACCGAAAAAATATTTTTTTTTATAAAAAAACATGGTTCTAAAATTCAGGAAACGAACGAAACTTTCATCCAATCACGTAGAAATTTTTTTCCTTTTTCCATCAGCTGTCTCTAATATCTTGAGTTAATGACATAGTAAAGCACTAAAGGAACCTTGCTGTGATCGATTAAACTTGTTACATTATATACATTGAGAACAAGCTTTTAATACACTATAGGTATATTATATTCGGTAGGAAGGTATCAATGAAGTCGATTACTTTCCTATTAATTGCGAACAAAAAAGTATATCAAATTTCATAGTTGATTAATAATTCCGTTGAACAGACCGAATTAATTTGTAGTCATACAAATAGATATTTGTTATTTCTCTATATAATATATAAACCACCAAGGGATGTGATTGCAAAGATTAATTAGAGTGCTTGATTAATGATTACTAACATTGATTAACACCAACAAGAAAAATGTGTTTTCTTTGATTGATAGTACTTGACAACAAATAAAGGGGGTGCAACCCTTCACAGTTCAAGTCACGCTAATTGGGCCAAGAAGGAAGGAATCTGGGGATGATTTAGTTTGTTCCAGGGCCTTATTCTTGCCTTTGGACACTGCAAGAGTGAGTTCCAGATCAGGAACAACTGCTGCATTATTATTCGAAGATTTCACCTGAGAATGAAGCCACATCGCATGTTCTGCAGTTGGTTGAGCTTGACAATAATTATCATTGTCTTTCTTCTCATCTGATTTGGTTTCTAGTTGAAGAAGTGACAAGGTGACATCGTTCTCATGAGTTTCACATTTGGATTTTGTAGAAACTAAATCACCTGATTTGCAGTTAGAGCTGTTAATTTGATTTGTGTTGCTAAAACCAGCCTGCCATGATTAATATCCAACAATTACAAGGCATAGAGGAAATTGATTTTAAGACTTATTTTCCAATATAAACAAGAAATAATTAAGTGTATATCATTCAGTTTAATATAAGATCAGGTAATCTGTACCAAGTCAAAAAGACTTGAACGTCTCTTTTTCTTATTCATGGTTGCAAGCCGAATAAAGTACTTCTGAGCATGGCTAGCCACTTGTGTTGGAGTTCTTGTAGTCACATAGTTTCTAGAGATTCCCCTCCAGTCACCTTTTCCCAGCTTCTCAAGGCCAACAAGGAATGTTCGGTGCTCTTCTTCTGTCCATGGTACTCCTATTATATTTGTAGCACAAAAGTTGTTATAATACATAAAAGACATAAATAAAATGATGGATGAGTCATCACAAGGAAGAAAATAGATAGTACTTTTAACAAGAATCAAAATTTTCCCAGCAAAAGTTAACAAAAGTTGCTGCATACTTTCGTAGATAACAAATCTACAACAACAAAGACTGAACTTCCTCATTCCTATGCTAAAAATGAGTGGTAGAAAATGTTAATTCAAACAAAATAGATAAAAACAATTAAACATAATTATGGAGAGATATAAATATGATTTATGCTGTATGTTAAAACCTACGATCAAAGAGTAATTTATGTTTCAAAACGTAACTTTTATTAACTAAATATTATTTTAATACAAATAAAAATTAAGTTATTAAACATCAAGTCAATCCATGTTTGAGGACAAATCTTACAATCATTGTTTAATAGACTTGGCTAATTATAGAGGGCTAAGAGGGGTATTACAAGACAACTTAAAATTAGTAGTAAGTAATTAATATATCATTTAGCATTAAGTTATAGAGGACAAAGAGAGAAATGTACGTGGATGAATATATATCTCAGTGTGAGCTAGCATACCTTTCTTCCTGTCTTGTGGTCGAACAATGAGGCCATCTGAATCTGATAAATAGCCAATAGAGTTTTTGTCAGAAAGGTCATCAATGGAGGATATTCTTGAGGAAGAAAATGAGGACGATGGAGAGGATGATGAGGGCAAGGAATCCATGCTAAAGCTTTTCTTGATGGTGAGAGAAGAATTAGAATTTGATATGTCTAGTTGAACCCCGAAGAGGCGAACTCCTACAAAAGTTGCTCTGAAAAATGCACAGGTCCTGGAATTATGCCCTATGTTTCCACAATGTGAGCACTTCCTTCCCATTTTCCCCTTCTTAGCAGCACAAAACCAAAATGTGTGTCTTTGAGAGGGGCTTTAAAGAAAGAAAGAAGGAAAGACAAAGAGCAGAAACTTAGAGATGTGTTTGGTGGTATATATGATGATGATGATGATGAGTGAGGTGTGGGGTTTGTGAAATTGGACGCACACCTAGAGAAATTAATTGGATGGACATAGTTTATTGTTGAAATATACTTTTGCAATTTTTTTTTTTATTCTTTTCCTCTTTTATACACAAAAGAAATCATGAGGATATAGATACCTTATCTTATTTATTAGTACTTGTGTTTCTGGGATTACACACGGCACTTGTGATGATGGGTGATGCGTATATACTCAACTGTACAGGTATGTACTTTTATAGTGCTTTTAAACACGATTTTTTTAATTTTTATTTTATACGAACCGTAAATATTTACAAAATTGCACTTTTTTCAACTAACTGAAATATATTTTTTTATGTCATTTTTTACTTGTATGTACACGGAAAATGTATCAATCAAGGAAAAGGATTATTTTTATATTACAATTAATAATTAATCATTAATGAAAGATTTAATTATACTTTTTTTCCCATCTATATTTTATTAAGCCTTAATAAAAATAAACAAAATGCAATTTGTGATCTTCAAAAAGGATTATCGCAATGCAATGACCGCTTAGGAAGTGATGAAAGAAAACATTATCACACCCATAATTTGATACAATTTATCGGTGTTTATTCGATAAACAATACATTCGAGTCAGAAGAGATTCTGTATTTGTCTAAATAATTGTCATTAATTGGCATAAGTTTCCATTATTAATTATAATATTTGATAATTCAATCATAATGTTCGTCATCCAAGAATTTTCTCGAGAGATCCCAAAAACCTCAAAATCCATAAATGCATGATGAGTGGACATAAAACCACAGTTTATAAAGACTACAACGATAGGTAACCCTCACTTAATATTTTGAATTAGGACTACCGATTGGTCTTTTTAGAAATAATCTTTTAGACCGAAACATAATCATATGAACTTACTTTAAAAGAAGTCACTAATTAAAATATAATAGATTACTTATAAAAGTACCATTCAAGAAACACTCTTAATGTGTAAAAACACTCCAGGTTTGAACTTCCCTCTATTTCAATCTTTGGGTAGGTTCATATAAAATAGTCGTCGTCTCTACGTATGACTTAAGGGGAAAAAGAAATATCATAGAAAAGAAGTATTTTGAAAGTTGTGTCCATCAACCAACATTACTTGCTATGGAAATTACTAAATTAAGAAACGTGAAGGGGACGTGAGAATTAGATTTCATGATTTCACCAAACTTTTATTAATTTGAATGTTTAAAGGGATTGGTTCCAACCAAAACCATGGAGACTGGAAAGCATTCCTTTTGGGATGAGTCAGTCAATAGATATTCCTCAATATGCTGTTCAAAGTCAGAAATAAATGTGATCTTAATTGCTTTCTGGTAACTTCCAAACCCTGCTTTGGGCTAGCTAGTCTCTTTATTCAAACGTTATTTAAAGACCTACTTCGTTTTTTTTTTACAGAAGAATAAAATTCACTCTTTTTTTTTCATATACAACATCTTTTATAATCAGGGATTAAAAAGTTTGTTTGAAAAAGACAATAGGTAAATAATCAATGGTTGCAAATAAGCGTCAAATAGAGGCGTGAGAAAAAAAAATGCTAAAACGTTTTCTTCTTTTTTTCTTTTTTTTTCCTAAGACACGATATAAAGGTTTAATTGGTTAATTATCATGCAATTAATTAACCTAATAATTAATCCACATGGTTAGAACAGCTGGTTAATAGTTCATTCATTCCTCTGATATATATATCATTTTGATTAAATACTTAATTATAAAGAGAAGGGAAAGGTGGAGAAGAAACTAAAGAACCCAGGACAACAAGCATTAGACATATCACATCATGTTTTAAAAGCAGCATGCAGGTGCTTTTTGCAAAGGTACATTTACCATAATTAAAATCTGAGATTCATTAGTAAGGGATGTATTCATGTTCATGGGGTAACGTAATTAAATTATTTATGGAAACGTACAGTTAACTCACCCACCTAGCTAGTGGTTTAATTTTATGTTATTATTAAATCTGATGGGCCAACTTAATTAATTATTAACAATTTCAATCGACATCTTCTGCGTTTAATAATGCAATTAGAATTTGAAGCTAAGTTGAGGATTTTTTACTCTTCTAATTTCTGCAGCAGTAAACACGTTTATTTGGTCATTTAGTTACATAAACGTGTTTACTGCTTCCAAGAGTAAAAGGGGTATTCAAAAACCTATCAATCAAGAGGTTATGTAAAGAAAACAAAACCAGAAGAAAAAATTATTTAGCACAAGAAGCAATATATACTAGAAGGTGGGTTCATATACACCAATCAGCATTGTCAACCCTAAGAACCACTTCCACGAAAAAAGGATTATAAGTGAAAGGAATGGACAAGAAGAGAATGAGAGAGAAAGTATGGATATTGAAGTCACAAAAGCAAAAGGATTCAGGTGGATGGAAGAAGCAGGAGAATCTAGAGACTCTCGACCACATCTCAACCCAATCATTTGCATGGATTCAAGAAGAATATGGAAAAATAATAATATATAAGTGTTAATTATTATTTTTTCTTTTTTACAACAATTATTTATTTATTTTTATTGATATATTAACCATTTTTTATCGTTAAAAAAAATAAATACTTATCAACAAGTTGATTGTTTGTACATTATATAAAGAGTGATTAAGTGGATTTTAGAGTAATATGTGTTACATATATATTTTTATTTTCTTCCAGACATTATTTATAAGATTCAAATATATTTTTATTTTTTAAATGCATGAATTTAGACACAATATTATATAAATCTTGAAAAATAAACAGAATTTTAAATTATACTATAAGTTTACTAAAATTTAATTACTTCACGACATTAGCTAGTTTATGACACAATACTTTTTTCATTCTTTTCTAACAGAATGTAGGGACAATATAGTCACATATTTCTCCACAAATTTCGTAAACAATTGTAGACTGAAATAAATGTAGGAGATTGTCTCAAAGTGGAGGGGTTTATGAGAAATTTTTGTCCCTACAAAATTGGGAAGAGATTTTGGCTTTCCTATATTCAAAGAAGTTGAGAACAATAAGTTAATTTGGAAGAACAAATAGCACTTGTACAATCCACTTGCCGAATGCTTACGTGTAGAAAATTCTAGTAAAATTAGGATACTAAATAGGTTTTAGCATAATATCATGTTATAAAAGCAATACACTTGGTCATAAGCCACAACACACACGGATAATTAGTCTTTGAATATCGTGGAAAATGAAGAAGCACCACTTTCAAACATAGGATGTAGAAACAAGTTAAAGAACGGGCTAGGATGGTTCTCATGTCTCAATCAATCAAAGACCTAAAACAATGACGAATCATTAATAATTAATCTTCCACATTGTTTAACTTTTTAATTAATTTATCATGATCAATCATATTATATATCAGAGGAGGGGCAGTGTGTCCACTTAAACTGAAAAGATGGATTACATCACTAAAATCCAGTATGTATAAGCACTTAGTTTCTACAGATATAATTTCACGCCACTTAATTTGCAACAACTAACTATAGCTACATTTATATTAAGAGTAATATATAATTGGTAGGCTTACAGCTTTTCTCAACTCTCAGTATCCAAAGACACCACTTGGTTGACGCAAAGGATCATGATGTGTTTATTAAATGGAAATAGTTGATCATGCAACTTTTTTAATGCATAATTCCTCGTTAACTTGGCCTTCAAATTTTGCTAAGAGGTATCGTCTCTAGTTATCACTATCCTCAAGTCAAAAGCAACACAAATGCAATAATAATGATTATACAGATGAGGAAACTGGGAGTTGTATTCAACGGTCCATTCTTGTGCATGTCAGACAACTATGAAATAATTTACCTGTTCCAATCATCTCACTATTTTTTTTTTAATCTAATATCATCTATGGCTATTAAAAACCATTAACATTAAATTTAATCAAACTTGAATTACACCCAATCATACATTGTTTCGGTTTTGGGTTTATCGATTATTATTGATAACCAGACTATATATATATATATATATATATTACTGTTATATTATATATATATATAACTATCGTGAATTCTTACAATATTTTAAAATTGATAATTAAAATTTAATTTATGCTCGCTGAATGTAATTAAAATTTAAAATTACCACTTATTATACATTATTTTAACACAACTATATTTATAAGTACATGAAGTGATTCCTTCCCAGCGCATTCAATCTTATGCGGTATACATGGTTCGGTAATTAAAATGAAGATTAAAATATTTTATTTATATAATTTTATTTATTTTATCTTTAATTTTTCATAATTTAAAATCAATTTTTTTAGTTACTAAAGTTTAAAATAGATTTTTTTTAATTCCTAAACATGTAACTTTTTAATTATTTTAGTCGTTATTGTTCTTTTTTTTTGTAATTTTATTTATCTTGTGTTAATATAATATATATTTTTAATTTTGTGAGGATGAAAAAATGTGTCCTAACAATGAACGTTACAATGAAAGTAAAAAAAAAATACAAAATGTCAATAAACTTAATTTAAAATAATTCAACAAAATAAATTCAACATAAAATATATAAAATTGAAATGATACTTCTATCACATTAATATATATATATATATATATATATATATATATATAAAAC